AGAAGTGCCTGCTGTGTGCCTGGTGCTGGATAGAGAGACGGGAACAGGAGCTGGAGCTGGTCTTCATTCCTAAAGATTGCATGGTCTAGTAGCGGGGAGAGGCACATAAAGAAGCAATTAGGATGAGTGTGTTAAGGGCTACAGAAGTACTGTGGAAGAGCAGGAAGGATGGAGTAAGTGACAGGCATTCAGGACTGCCTCTAGTCCTTTTTGAAAGAATGGGGGTGGGGTGGGGGAGTACACAGAACATAGTCCACACTCCACCTGGGGGAATCTGTATAATCTTTTTAGAAATGGTGATGAGTTGAATCTTAAAGGATGTGCAAAAGTTGGCCAGATGCCAAATATCCATACAGGTATTCCAGAAAGAGGGAACAAGAGCTAGAGCAGTGAGCAGGCCTGGCAGGTGAAGGGGTGTACAGTGAGCAAGTCAGTGTGGCTCTGATTGGGGTGTGGAGGGGAACACCAGGGCAAAGACTGAGGGAAGGCTGAGCCATGTGCCCAAAGACCCAGTAGACGGTGGGATGGCCAGGGAGCTGACTTTTATTGGGCACCTTCAATATTGTTTTACTAATAAGAAAACTGAGACTCAGAGAACTAGACTAGCTTGCCCAACTTGTACAGGATTAAACCTCAAGTCTATCTTTGCTCTTTTTTCCTGCATTGTGCCGATGATGAACCTGGACATCACGCTATTGGTTAATGATTTTCAGACAATTTGCAAATACAATCTTAACCCCAAACTCTGATATATAGTGTTACCTGAACAGATCTGGTTAATATCTTCACAGTACCATGTACAATTGCTGTAAGTAAAAAGCTGACATCAGAACATTACTATTAATGAAAACACATATTGTATTTGGATTTCACCAGTTTTTGCACTATTGCCTTCTTTCTGTTCCAAGGTCCAGTCCAGGGTACCACATTGCATTTAGTTGCAATAACTTTCTTTTGACAAGCACTAATACAGGAAGTCAGGAGTTGTGCTGCATTCTCAAATACTCAGTTTTGTGATTCACAATCAGATACTGCTTTGTACACTTAGAAGAAATCCTAACTAGCAGGGTGAGCAGCCTGCTACCAAATACAGTTGGTATAATTATCTGATAATGCAGCCCAAAGAAGAATCCAAGAATCCACCCCAACAAACTTGATTTGGCCTGTCTTACTCAGCTTGGGCTGTCATACAAAATATCAAAGAGGGGACTTAAACAACTCACATTTATTTTTTCATAGCTCCAGATGCTAGAATTCCCAGAAGAAGATGTCAGCCAATTTGGTTCCTACTGTGGACTCTTCCTGGCTTATAGTGTTACCTGAACACTATTTTCATAGGCAGCTAGCTAGTACTTTAAGTATAACATAAGCTGAACAGATCTGGTTGTATTTATTAACATAAATTTCTTCCATATTTAAATGTATGGCACTTAGGAAACCTACTAATAAAAACAGTGGCTTTCTTTTTAATAAACTCTTTTATTTTAAAATAATTTTAGATTTACAACGAAGTTGCAATGACATTACAGAGGGGGTCCATGCTCAGTGTCCTTACTTGGCCTTTTGTGTATGTGCAGGGTAGGGGGGAGTTTATCTCTTTCTATAGGATCAGGGACCCACCCTTAAGACCTTATTTAACCTTGATTACCTCCTAAAGACCTCACCTCCAAATACAGTCAAATTGAGGGTTAGGGCTTCAACATGAAATTGGGGATGGGAGACACAATTCAGTCTATAGCATAGTCCAAAGGCTGAAATTATGTAAAATCTTTACAATTCAATCATGGCACAATATAGTACTGAAACTTTCTCCATTTTGTTCGATATTTTTATGCAAGTAAAAATGTATTACTTTGTAAAACACTTGATACATACAAGAAAAAAATTTAGATTACATTTTAATATTCATTAAATACTAGTAAGTTAAAGAAAATATATTGTTATCTGAACAGATGGTATAAAAGAAATGATGAGAAAAAATTTCAAAGTGGTTATCTTATAAAAGCTGTTACCAGACATTTGCAGGTGGTCATTAGATTGTACATAGGTGTTAAGAAGATATGGCATCCTTTAGAATAATTAGTTGTTACTGGTGTGGGCTGTGAGTTCTAGAATGTACTTTTCCATACCAAGGTTATTTACTGTACTGAAATGGTACAAGTACAGACACTTTACACAGAATAAGAAAACACTGGGCTTTGTTTTGCCTTTGCTGACATAGAAACTTAACTAGCTAACTTTACATCAACAGGTGCATAGTTGCCCCTCTTACTGTCACTCCAGTTACTTCACACAGGGTAGCATGTTACCTGTACTTCGCTGCAAATCAAGTAGGTCTGCAGTGTGTTGAACAAATGGCCATTGATGCTCTGTTTTTAGTTTGAGTGGTGGGGTGAATGGTAATGCCATTAATCCAGAAAACTGGGAAAAGGAATAGATTCAATGGAAGGAGGGAGAGAGTTTGAAATATCTCTAGGAAATCGGGTAGAGATATTCAAATCATCTCTGGAATTTTAGAGAAAATAAGTAATATTCTAGAATAGCTGTAAGTCATCATTTGAAAGTAAATTGAAGAGATCTATTTTTTAATTAAAGAGGGTATACCATTGTATTAGTTAAGGGATAGAAAGATCAGTAAAGGGAAGAAATAATTTGGGCTTAAAACTCTGCAAAATGAGTGACTAGTAGACTACAATGTTCATCTAGAGAACCTGTATTTAAGAACCTTTCAGGATAAGCCAGTCAAAGAAAGACAAGTATCACATGATCTCACTTATACATGGAATCCAATGAACAAAATACACTGACGAACAAAACAGAAAAAGAAAAAAAAGAACCTTTCAGGGATATTTCATTGGAATATCTATTAATGTTCCAACATGTGATTTGATCAGTTGTGTTATTTTCAATTCTTAAAGCATTGATTCAGTAATTTTATTTGGATGAAATTCTGTTATATTCAGTCCTTAGATTCTTTTTGTCCCCAGTTTTATTGAAGAATCATTGACAAATGTAATTATATGTATTTAAAGTGTACAGTGTTATGATTTCATATACATATACATTGTGAAATGATTGCCCAAGTCAAGATAATTAAGACATCTATCACCTCATCTAATTAACTCTTTTTTGTGTATATGGTGAGAGGACACTTAAGACCTCTCAAAAAAAAAAAAAAGATCTGCTCTCAGCAAATTTCAGGTATACAGTATCTTATTAGTAACTGTAGTCACCATGCTGTACCTTAGATCCTCAGAATGTATTCATCTTATAACTAAAAGTATGTAACCTTTGACCAGCATCTCTCTATTCCCATCTTACTCACCAACCCCCCACCTCCAGCCCCTGGCAACCACCATTCTACTCTCTGTTTCTGTTTCTATGAAATGGGCTTTTTTTTTTAAGATTTAACATATATATGATACCATACAGTACTTGTATTTCTCTGTCTGACTTATTTCATTTAGCATTATGCCCTCCAAGTTCATCCATGTTATCACAAATGGCAGGATTTCCTTCCAACAGCCAAATAATATTCCTGTGTGTGTGTGTGTGTGTGTGTGTATGTAGTTTACATTTTTTAGCCATTCATTTGAGAGACACACACACACACACACACACACACACACACACGTATATCACATATTTTAATCTATTCATTCATCAGTGGACACTTGGGTTGTTTCCATGTCTTGGCTATTATGAATAATACTGTAATGAACATGTGCCGGGGCTGACCGGCAGACCCTGAGTGACGGGTGAACGGATAGCTCTGACACACTTTTCTGTGAAAGAGAGGGCTAAGGCACTACTTGACTATCACCACCAAATAGCCCTGTTCGCCTGCCTTCTTTGGCTTTTATTGTCATAACAGCTTGAACTAAAATTAATCTCTAGATACAATCAACAAGGTAAGCATCCTTGAGAAAGCACATGCTTCTACAAGGTCGAGTCTAAAAGACTAAACAGATCCCTTAGTAAAACCCCCGGGGGATTTGACTTGTTTGGGGCTGCTGCCTTTGGCAAGGTCCCCCCAGAGGCCCCCGACCTTTCGGAGAATCCTCCTTACAGACATTCCAACCAAGTCCCGTGCTTCTCCACAAACATGGGAATGCAGATATCTCTTAGAAGTATGGGTTCCATTTCCTTCTAATATATACCTAAAAGTGGGATTGCTGGATCATATGGTATTTCTATTTTTAATTTTTTGAGGAAACTTCATACTGTTTTCCATAGCAGCTGTATCAATTTACATTCCCACCAACAATGTACAAGGGATTCCTTTCCTCTACATCTTCACCAACATTTGCTATCTGTTGTCTTTTTTATAATAGCCACCATAACAGATGTGAAGTGATATAGAAATAAAGAAAGCAATCCCACTTACATTAACATCAAAAACAATAAAATACTTAGGAATAAACTTAAGGAGATGAAAGACCTATACACTGAAAACTGTAAGACTAATTTTTGGCAAGGGTGCCAAGAACACACAATGGGGAAAGGATAGTCTCTTTCAATAAAAGTTGGGCAAATTGTATAGCCTCGTGCAAAAGACCCCTGACTTACACTATGCATAAAAACAAACTCAAAATGAATTAAAGACTTAAAGAGTAAGACCTTGGGTTTTTAAGTATATTGTTCAACTGAAATAGTTATATCCTAAAGTACAAATCATTCTTGACTCTAAACTTTAGAGTCTAAAGCTTCAGTTTTAGTATATAGTAAAATGTAGTTGTTTTTCATTGCTCTAATGTATTTTTTCCCTGCTACCAATTCTTACCTTTCATTTCACATTCCTATTTGACTTTAGAAGCTCATGGAAAAGTATCAGATAGTGTGGTCTTTCTGATAGTCTTTGGGGGAAAGAGCTGCCTCCATCTTCAGCTCTTCCTGGAAGCTCAAGCTGTTCATCAAAACTCTGCTGTCTGGGATGTTTCTAAGGCTGTGTAAACTGTGGATTGGAGAAAGGTGCTCACAGGTCTGTTCTCTATTTGCAGGTGATCCCCATGCTTCCCAGGGCATTGTGTGAGGAACTGTGCAGCCTCAATCCCATGACTGACAAACTGACCTTCTCTGTGATCTGGACGCTGACTTCGGAGGGCAAGGTAACAACTTAGACTTGTGTCCATTCCACTCAGTGAGTCCCTGGTAAGTCCCTACTGTATGTCTCGCACTGGGCTGGAGTCCCATGGTGGTAGATGATGATGATATAGGAACAGCCACTATAGAGAAGAACATATAAGAGCTGCTGCCTCTGGAAAGCTCAGTCTGTTTGTTTATTTACTTACTTACTTTCCTTCCTCACCTGCAAATGAACACACAAGAGTAATGGCTGCTTCCCACATAATAGCCAGAATGAGATTTGAAGATGAATCTGAGTTGTGCCTTGTTTAGAATCCTCCTGTGGCTTCCCATTCTTTCCCATTGCAAGGCCTCCAGGGCCTCCCACTCCTGTTGACTCATTTTCATCAGACAGCAGTGGCCACAGCAGACCCACCCAGCAGAGCAAGGAGTCCCCCACCCTCTCTGCAGATTACAAAACAAAACACAACATCCAGTCCAGAGCCCAAGGCCAGAAGCACAGGGAGGTGTGTCCTCAAGCCAAGGCCATTGGAAAGTCAGTGGGACAGGATGTGCAGGGAGCCCTGTCTGCCATCATCTGATCTGATGGAGGCTCTCCCTATCTCTCCAGGTTACTGGAAAACAGGTGGGTGAGACCTTGGCAGTTCTCAGAGGTTTGGGGCTGTTCCTGGGAAATGTTGCCCAATACCTGCCCTGCCACTTCCAGGATTTCTTTATCTACAAGAACTTCTATCCCACTCACTGGGCTTTGTGAGGGGGAAGGGAGCAAAGAGATTGCCCACAGAAGTCGGTTTAAAAATTCTAGTGAAACTCCTTCACCAAAGTCCTATGTGGTTGGAGGTCTCTGATGTATCATTGCCAAATATGTTCTCTCATACAGTGGGCTCCCTTTGCGTTTTGTTGATGGTTTCTTTTGCTTTGCAGAAGAGACGGTCTTGACTCCATTGTATGCTCTTGCCTCCTTTGTCAAATATTAATTGAGCATAATGGCTTGGGTCGATTTCTGGGGTCTCTGTTCTGTTCCATTGGTCTATATGCCCACTCTTGTGCCAGTACCAGGCTGTTTTGATTATGGTGGCTGTGTAGTATAACTTGAAATCTGGTATTGTGATTCCTCCAACTTTGTTTTTCTTTCTCAAGATTGCTGCAGTTATTTGGGGGCTTTTTTATTCCATTTAATTTTTGGAGTATTTGTTCTAGCTCTGTGAAGTATGCTGCTGGTATTTTAATAGAGATTGCATTGAATCTGTAGATTGTCTTAGGTAGTATGGACATTTTAATGATGTTGATGCTACCAATCCATGTATACAGTATATTCTTCCACTTGTTTATATCTTCTTCTTTTTTTCAACATCCTTTTGTTTTCTGAGAACAGGTCTTTTACCTCCTTGGTTAAGTTTATTCCTAAGTATCTTAATTTTTTTGTTGCAGTGGAAAATGGGATTTTTTTTTTTAGTTTCTCTAAGAATTCATTATTGGTGTATAAAAAAGCCATCAATTTTGGGGTGTTGATTTTGTATCCTCCTACATTGCCAAATTCATTTATTAAGTATAGTAGTTTTTTGGTGGATTTTTTAGGGTTTTCTATGTACAATATCATATCATTTGCGAATAATGAGAATTTTACTTCCTCCTTTCCAATTTGGATGTCTTTTATTTCTTCTTCTTGTTTGATCGCCGTGGCTAGGACTTCCAGTACTATGTTGAATAAGCATGGTGAAAGCAGACATCCCTGTCTTATTCCTTTTCTTAGGGGAAATGGTTTTAGTTTTTGCCTGTTGAGTAACACTGTAGGTTTGTCATATATGGCCTTTATCATGTTGAGATAAGCTCCCTCTATTCACACTTTGCTGAGGGTTTTTCCAAAATGGGTGTTGGGCCCTAGCCAGTTTGGCTCAGTGGATAAAGCGTCGGCCTGTGGACTGAAGGGTCCTGGGTTTGATTCTGGTCAAGGGCACATACCCGGGTTTGCGGGCTTGATCCCCAGTAAGGGGTGTACAGGAGGAGCCAATCAATGATTCTCTCTCATCGCCCATAGTTCTTACAGCCCATAGGGACTTCTTTCCCCAGCTCTGGGACCCTGGGTTGGGGGTCTGGTATGGGGCTGGGATCCCTTGCTCCTCCAGGGGGCCTCTGCAGAGGCAGTCTCCCTCCTGATTAAAGAAGCGGCACACCCAGGTGCCGGACCAGCCCATTCCGGGCCTCCGCACCTCCTATCAGTCTCAATGTGCTTTCTTCTTTACCTCTCTAGTTGTAGTACTTCCACTCAGCCAGTTTTCCTGCGGTTCTTGATGATAGTTGTTCTGTATTTTGGTTGTAATTTTGATGTGGTTGTGGAAGGCAGCAAGTATAGGCATTTACCTATGCCGCTATCTTGGTTCGCTAATGGCCTTCATTTTGAAGTCTGTTGGATATGAGTATTGCTACTTCAGCTATTTTTTCTTTGCCATTTGCATGGAAATTTTTTTTCCATTCCTTCACTCTCATCCTGTGTGTGTCTTTTGTTCTGAGGTGGATCTCTTGTAGACAGTATATATATATATATATATATTGCATCATGTTTTTGTATCCATTCACCTACCCTATATCTTTTGATTGGAACATTTAATCCATTTACACTTAAGGTTATTATTGGTAGGTATTTGTTTATTGCCATTTTAATTCTGTATGTCTAGTTTTCTCTCTCTATTTCTTCTTCTCATTACAGCAGTCCCTTTAACATTTCTTGTAATGCTGGCTTAGTGGTGATGAACTCCTTTAGCCTTTTTTTTTTTTTTTTTTGTCCAGGACGCTCTTTATGACCATCTATTTTGAATGATAGCCTTGCTGGATATAATAATCTTGGTTTCAGATCCTTGCTTTCCATTACCTTGAGTAGTTCATGTCATTCCCTTCTGGCCTGTAGAGTTTCTGATGAGAAGTCACGTGTCAGCTTTATGGGAACTCCTTTGTAGGTAACAGTTTTCTTTTTTCTTGCTGCCTTTAAGATCCTCTCTTTGTCTGTAATTTTTGGCATTTTAATTATGATGTGTCTGGGTGTGGGCCTGTTGGGGTTCTTCTTGCTTGGGGTCCTCTGTGCCTCCTGTATTTGTGTGACTTTTTCCTTTACCAGGTTAGGGAAGTTTTCTGCTATTATTTCTTCAAACACATTCTGTATCCCTTTCTCCCTTTCTGCCTCTTCTGGCACACCTGCTATTCTAATATTGTTACATTTCACATTGTACCACAGCTCCCTTAAGCTGTCCTGTTTTTTAATTGTTTATTCTTTTTGGTACTCTGTGATTTTTTCAACCCTGTCTTCTAATTCACTGATTCAGTCCTCAGCTTCCCCTAATCTGCTGTGTATTCCTTCCAATGTGTTCTTTTTTTGTGCTATCTCATTCTTTTTTTCTAACTGATCTTTTTTCATAGTTGCTATATCTTTTCTCATGCTGTTGAGCATCTTTACCATCATTATTCTGAAGTCTGTTTCAGATAAATTTCTTATCTCCATTTCATTTTTATCTCTTCTTCTGGAGAATTCTCTTGTTCTTTCATTTGTGGGTTGTCTCTTTGTTTCCTCATTTTGGTACCTGTTTGGGTTTGTGACTATGTATTAGGTAGATCTGCTACACCTCTCAATCTCTAGTGCAGACGGTGTCGAATATTGTTTCTGACTAATTAGATCAAGCAAAGACTCAAAGTCTCCAGAGACTGCCTCTGGCTGTAGACTGATAGGATTCCTCTTGATGTGCCCTCAGGCAATCATCCACCGGTGTGGCAAGTTTTTTTCAGCAGGATGGGGTAATTGTTTCTGCCTGGAGGCTAATTGTTATTCTCAGTCTTGTAAGAGGCAAGGTTCTTTCCAATAGAGTGGGTCAGCTGTCTTCCTCCCGTGCAATGCTGTATGCGATCACCTGCTTGAGAAAGATTTCCTCTGCTGTGTGAGGGAATGGCTCAGCACAAGAAACTGGGGTGTCTGCCTTCTGATCCAGAGCCTTTGATCCTGGTGTCTGCTCACCCAGCTCCATCCACTCTGCTGTTCCTCTGTTGGAGCACAAGATGGGCGGCTCCACAGGGACTTTTATGCATTGGCCCTTTAAGAGGGTGCCTGAATTTCCAGCCATCTCTCTCTGGCAGACAGCTACCCCAATGTTTTTCACAGACAGATCTTATGTGGATACCCTTCTCAGTTCTGGTGTTCTCTGCCGTGGGGCCCACCTCGGGAATTAGACCCCAGAGTTCTCAGTGGCAACCCCCACAGCTGAGATTTCTCTCCAGAACTTCAGCTGCTGTCTATGGGGGCTTGGTCAGCCCTTTCTGCCCCTCCTACCAGCCTCTATGCCGTCTCCACTTTTCGTTCTCGGTTATCAGGGTTCTCCAACGTGTCTCCATTGATTATTCAGTAAGTTTTTCTGTATTTTAGTTGTAATTCCAGTTTGGATCTATGAGCATGTCTGTGCAGCATCCATTTATTCCACCACCATTTTTAATTTCCTGCCCTTGTGTTTTTGTTATTAGCTTCTGCTGTCCATTTAAAAGGCAAGACAGACCCTAAGCTTTCAGAAACAAGTACTTGTTTCTTATCTATTAGGTGAAGGAAACAATTGTGTAAGCAAAGTCACTTGGGGAAGCTCAGTGCAGTTGATAGGGTGTAAGTGAAGGTGAATGTGGATTGGCAGTGGCAGGAGGAGCAGCAGACCTTATTTGAAGGATGAGATTCAGGGGAAAGGTGGCGACTTTGGAATCAAACTATGGGGAGCCACAAGTGTCAGTCACTAGTGAATTGTAGGTGTAGGGTTCCTCTGAAGTGTCATGAGAAAGGTGACTTTTAGAAAGATTAGTGCTGCATCATTGTGTGGGATGCCTGGCAATTTAAAGATGAATTAGATTTGCACAAGGTAGTTCCATAAGCAAGGCAAAGGTGATGAAACCACAGAATGAGAACAGAGAAGTGAAGAATGTCAGCAAGCATTCCCTAAATAGAGGGAATAAATGAGACGTGACTCTAGGAAAAACTAGTTCCCTCCCCCAAACAGAAACA